TGCTGACCCGTTGGCACGGGCCTAGCCTGCGGTGCATCTAGAGAACCACTGAAATCTTTCCCTTGTCACTCATGAGACATCTTTCTGCACACAAAGCTAGTCTAGGTCAGACTGGCCGCAGCTGGGGCCCTGGCCATTCCCAAGCACCGGCTGGACTCACAATTTAAAGCCTCCGGGTTTTCATGCCACTCCAGGCCCTTCAGCGCTTTCCCTACCGAAGGTCTGGGAAGGCATGGTGTTCAGGCAATGCTGATGGGTGGGTTGAGAGGGACGTCCCCATCCAGAGGGACCGCCCTCAGCAATGGCTGTCATTCCCCACAGGAACTGGGCCTCTGAGACTGGATTCCACCTGCTGTCAGGCTGGCTGGCTCCCTGGGGAGCATTTGGCCAATGGACTGTGGGGGACCCACCCTGCAACCCTGAAATCCCTTTGCATTGCCCCCGTGGTCAGCAAGCCCGAGTTCAGTACTCTGCCCCCCGGCCCTCCTCAGAGGCAGGCTCTAAGTTTACGTTGTGTTAACCGGAAGTCTTTGAGTTAGACGTGAACAGCTGATGCCAGGTGTGTGCCACCATGCCCAGCTTTTTCTGTTGAGATGGAATCTCAGGACCTGGAGCCACAATCTTCCCCATCTCAGCCTTCTTATATCTAGGGTGACAGGCTTAAGCCCGCATCCTTCATTCTAAATAAACTCAAGTCTTTTCTTAGATGAAGAAGCTCAGCAGCCAGAGATCAGAGATGACTGAGTGTTTCCTTTTCCCAAATGATCAAAGCCACCTGTAAATAGCAATTCCTGATCTTTACAAATAGATCATAGCTTTCTTAAGGATTAAAGAAGGCTTTTAATGTTGTCAGAAAAACTGTTTCAAGGAATATCTGGGAGTCTTAAGAGCCCCAGCTGAAATGTGAAGTTGATATCTAGTACTCTAAATGTCTGGAGTCCGCACTGAAGCCTAATTGCTACTTAGCTAGCCAAGAAGCTAGCTACTAGAAAGATCTCTGGGTTTTTCTCGCTGCAAGGTAGACAAGCATTCCCACTGAGTGACTGCAGCTCATGAGAGGATGCATGTAACACCAAGAATTTTAAGTGGACATTTGTCATTGGAGCTTGAGACGTGGAGAACAGATCAGAAACCTAGATCACATGAGCTAAGTGAAGGAAAGCTTTGCCATCCATCTCCATCCACTCACGGGCTCCACAGGTGCCTTTCTTACTTCACGTCCTTGATAGTACAAGCCTGAAGCTGGGGCCTGGGGCGCTCAGCCAGGCCTGCAGCTGCATGTCGCTCTCATGAGGCTGTTTTGGGGTTTTGTGTATTCCTTCCCATTGTGCGCCTATTAGTACTTCCTGCAATTGCAATTAGAACACCGAATATTATATATTCAGTGAAAAAAATGTTTTCATAAAGAGGAAGCTGAGTGTCTCTTGAAGCTTTAATTAAGAGGTTGTTGAAATGTCAATTAGGAGTGAAAAGGGCCACTTTAAAAGGCCAGGTAGAAAGCCCTGACACTGTAGGAAATGCTGAAAGGAGGAAGAAGGTTCTCCCCGCAGCTATAAGGAAGGAAAGAGGGTGGGAGCTACCTAATACCCATGGAGACAGAGCTCCAACCAGCTGATCCGCACACAAGGAAAAGCTCTTGGCCGAAGAATTAACCATTAAATCAGCTTAAGATGATTCTGATTTCCTACATGGCTGGACACCAGCCCTACACTCAGAGCTCTACTCGACTCTAAAACCAAGTGAAGAGCTAACCAGCCCGAACCTCACAGATAAGAAAGGAAGGGACAGTAGACACCTCCAGTGGAATGGCCTTCCTTTTGCTATCTTCTTCTTAGCAAAGGAAACAGACAGAGAAATGGTATATAACTCCAAGAGCAACTCGGGAGGGGCATGGGGGGAGCTACAGCATGTGGCATCATGGGAGAGAAATCAGAGCGCATACAATGTTGTGGGGCTTGAGAACTCCCATCCAGGGGTCTGATTCTGAGCCCAAATGATTGGGAAATTGATCCGAGGAATCCTTGAGGTCAAAGCAGATAAAGGAAGGGCAGAGGTCCACTCCACGCTGGCCCTACGAAGAAAACTCCAACTCAAAACGTTTCCTTGTTCTAGGTGGCACAGCCTAGGACATCTCCTCTTTCTCAGTGTCCAGAGGCCAATGACACACCATTAGGGACCAGAGTACCTTCTCTCAGAGCTCTGCCAGGCCTCAGTACAAGTCTAGAGTGCCAGGAAAATCAGTGTTTCCTCAAGAGGAGTAGCTCAGGAGCCCCAAAAGCCAGCAGGTGAGGGCAGGAACACAGGTGGCCCCAATGAACTGCTCTGACTCCAGGGAGCAGGTGCCTGGGGCTGGGCTTGAGTTGCCGCTTGCAGTGAGATACTGCAGCTGTGCAGAGATAAAGACGGTGGGGTGGGAGCGTGGCTGCCAGGAGACACTGCAGTGGAGCAGAGATAAAGAGGATTGGAGCAGAAGTTATCTCACAGGTGGAAAGCACAGAACTTCCCTGACCTTCCAGCACGTAAGCAGCCCTGCCCTCCTTCCTGTTTGCCTCTGATAACTCTCTACCCTCCCTCGCCCGCCAAGGCCAGACATAAACTCCACTGTCCCCGGGGTTTCACCAGCCACCAGGACCTGGAAGGGACAGCCGCCATGTGTATTAGCCACATCTTTCTCACCGCTGCCATACCGGGAGCAACTGGAGAATAAATGTAACTGTGCCCACAGTGCATGCAAAGCCCAGGACAGGCCCATGGATTTCAGTTCTCAACCTGTCCTTAGAGAGCTGAAGAACAGTTCAGGGCATCCTTGAAGCTGGTTCCTCTTCAAGGTTGTGAGAAACCATGTTATCAAGTTGATATCTGCCAGAAATAACCTAAGGACAATAGGAACCAAAGGCTGGAAATACAAACTAGAGATTGAACACCAGTTAGGAGAATTCACATATCCATTTAGTTTAGTCATTCACTCAACAAATGCCACCTATGTACCGAGAATTGGTCCAGGCTCTGGATATACGTCAGAACAGACAATGGCCGGGGCAGGCAAGGTGATTCTAAGTACTTAGCACATGTATAATAATCCCAAAGCCTACACTGGAGGCAGAAAGAGGAGATGAGTGTAGTCCGGATGGATAGACTCTCAGCTGTCAGTAACTACTACTTATAAATGATTCGCTTACACTCGCTTACTCTAATTACTAGTCTATCTAATTAGTACTATTATCTAATGCGTAGAAGGGAGGGGATGGCTGGAAGCAGTACTCAGGGGGGACCATGGAGAAGACAACTTCTTGTTTCTGGGTTTAATGGAATGGCTACCTCTGAGACAGGATGGTTAGCTGTTAGCTGTGACTAGGGGAAAGCATGCACATTCATGGCAATGTTGGGCTTTGGTTATTACTGCTTTCCTTAAATAGAATACCTATGTCATGCAGCTCCCTGGTTTTCAGTGTTCGGCTACACAGTCATCTCCACTATCAAATTCAGAACATTTTCATCAGCCCTGAAGCAAACCCCACCCCTGTCCAGCTCCAGGTCTGTGGGGTACCTACTGTGAGCATTTCACATGACTGGAATCACATGGGTGGTCCTTTCTGAATGTCTTCTTTCATTTAGTGAGTGTGATTTAAATTTCAGCAATGTAGAGCCTACAGAATTTTAGATTTCAATGGATATTCCATTGTATGAACATAAGGTATCTCATTTGTCCATTCATACACTGCTGACTAGTTGGCTTGTTCTACTTTTATGGTTATTATGAATAATGCCATGTATATTCACTTACAGATAGATCTATCTCAATGTCTGTTTTATAAAAGGATTTCTGATTGTGTATGTACTAGTACTGGGCCTTGAACTCAGGACCTGGGTGCTACCCTATAGCTTTTTCACTCAAGGCTGGTGCTCTACCACTTGAGCCACAGATCCACTTTCAGCCTTTTTGTTGTTGTTGTTGGGGATGAGGAATTGGAAGTAAGTCTCTTGGACTTTCCTGCCAAAGGCTGGCTTTGAGCTGTGATCCTCAGATCGCAGCTTCTTGTGTAGCTAAGATTACAGGCGTGACCCACCAGTACTTGTCTTAAAATATATTTTTATTAGTATTTGTTAGGTATTCAAGGGAGATTTCATTGTGACATTTCCATTCACATATAAAATGATCAAATTCACATTCTCCATCTCTCTTCTTCAGCTTTTCCCCTTCTTAAACTAATTTCAACAAATTTCATTGTTCTACCTCATGCAAGTGTAAGTACGTCCACCACAGTCTCCTTATTTACTTTGCATTTGGGCCTCATTCCTTCCCCCTACTGGTACCCAACCCCAGGGGAGCCTGGTTTCCTTTCATGTGATTCTCTTTTCCTTTGTCTAGCACATATTAATTGTTCAAAGGGGTTTCACCATGGTAAGTCACACACACACACACACACACCACATATTTTAGGAAAGAACTAGAAGAGTGGTTGTCAAGTTATAGGGTAATTCTGTTTTTAACTTGGGGGATGTTTAACTTTCTAAGCAACTGCCATACTGTTTTCCATGGAGATTGATCTGTATCGTGTTCCCACTAGCAATGCACAAGGATGTGTTTCTCTACATCTTTGTCAAAACTGGTTTGTGTGACTTTCTGATTCTGTGCTTCGTAAGGGGAAGGAGGGGGAAATAAAGTGATTCTTCCTGTGCTTCAGATTTACATCTATCTCCCCAGGATGCCTGGCCTGATACAGCTCCTGTGCCTTTCTTAACTTGCTTGAAAGAGCATTGACATTGGAAGTGATCAACAACTGCATGCTGCCCACAGTTATTCTGGGCTATTCTGGGCTATAATAGGAAGACCACAGGGTGGGATGCGGGGCCGCCCCTTCCTGAGGTCACCAAGAGGGACATTCTCGATGTGGAATGTCAAGGATTTCTAAATGATTGGCACAGTAAGTAATTCTGCTTCACAATCAGAGATTCTAAACCTTAAAGGTAATTATGCACCAAACGGACAGGCAAACATGGTATGTTTGAAAAGCCAGATATATTTTTTAAAGATTATGCTTACAATAAGTAAATTATGTAGTGAAGAAACATCAAAATCAAGTTGATGAATAAAAAGGCACGTCTGAAAGACTGAGTAGTAGACAGTTCTTTTTGTTCCATTTCGAATGTGGGAGGTGAGAGAAACAGACACGTTGAAGTTATTTTTCCGGGTGAAGGTTCCTGTCAGGGGAAGTGATTAACACTGGCTTCTTTTCTCCCTCAGCCAAGGTGCTCTCTTCTTCGTCAGCATCTAGGGACGGTCAGTCTTCTGCCACGTAGAAGCGATACATCAGACCTACCACCAGGGCAGAGATGGCTGGGATCACCCAGTTGGACCACCAACTAGAAAGAGAAACATAGGAAGTGAGGGTGGCATGAGGTAATGCAGGGATGATGCACCCTGCGGTGACCACCAGCCCCTCCCCCTGCTGAGAAAAGACCTCCCCCTCCCGGCCCGGATCCCTTCTATAAATTAACCCAGCTCCTCTTCAATTGTTTCTATACACTTCCCCTGGCTCCACACCAACCATTTCTACAAACTGAATAGAGAACTCCTTCTCCCAGCAGACACTGTCCAGCAGTGACTTTCCCACTGACATTAAGCTTTGTCTTACCTAACAACAGGGCAACAGAAGTAAAGACTCCTAATGTGTTATTCCATCCCAATGTGTTCATCAAGAAGTTAAATCAGTTGCGGCTCACGCCTATAATCTTAGCTACACAGGAGGCTGAGCACCCCAGATTGAAGCCAGTATGGGCATGAAAGTCTATGATACTCCTATCTCCAATTAACCACCAAAAAGGTGGAAATGGAGTGGTGGCTCAACTGGTAGAGCACCAGCCTTCAGGGAAAAAGTCCAGTCCTGAGTTCAATCCCTAGTACTGGTGGAAGGGGAAGGGTAAAACGAAGGGGAAGGGGGAAAGGAAAGAGAAGGAGAAGGGGAAAGGGAAGGAGAGAGAAAAGGGGAAGGGGAAGGAGGAGGGAGGGAAGATCAGAAGTCAGCAAGCTCCCAGCCAAGGACTGAGCCAGGGCCTGAGCCGTGAACTGGAGAAAGGGAGATGGAGGAGAGAGGTCTGACCCTGTGAGCACTTGGCTGTCACCTACATCCTGGTACTAACACTCTGAGATTCTGCTTTGAAGATCCATCTTGACAACCTTTGCATGCTGTTTCCTAACAGAGCACCTAGTCTGTGGTCCACCTGCCTAAATTCACAGACGTGCCTAACTTATACACTATTCTATGTTGAGCTGTACAACTTCAATCAACTATAAATTACATTTTATGAGTCAAATCAGGGACACAGCTGGGAATAACTTTAATGTAGAATTTTTAAGTTAGATTTGAGTACCCAATTTAGTTTTCACTCCTTAGAAAGCAGAAACTAAGGTAGTGACTTTAGAAGCCAAATAAATTATGCATATACATATTTTCCATCATAAACTTTCTGTTCCTTACTACTTTTTATAAAGGCTTGAGGTGTGAAAGGATTACAAGTGTAATTTTGTCTCAGTGGAGTCTGCTGGTGTTTTCAGTTTTCAATTACAATGAAACCAGCATGTCAGAAGAGTACCGTGAGAAGTACTGCCAGAAGCCGGGACTATTCCAGAGCACTCAAAAAGTCTCAAGGCAGTTGAATCTCACAGGATGAAATACATGCATGTGGTTGCTCTTTGGAAACAAAGAAAGGGAGGGAAGGGGCTATTACTTAAGTCAGCATGGTGGAGCCACCAACACTGTTCAAGAGAGCCTGGGCCACAATAAAGAAATCCGGTCTGTAACACGTGACTCCTGCTACACTTGGACCACTGAGTTCAATTTTAGGAGCAACTCCATGACAAAGGAAAACTCAGCCGGCTCAGGAAAGGAAATGGCCGCCATGTAAGAAGCCGACCTTGTATTCAGAAGGAAGTGGTTAGCGTTGCAATGGGACTGCCATGTTTGTTGCTGGGGCAGAAGCAGCCCAGTGGCAAGACCTGGGTTGACCATTTAGGATGGAGAGCACCAGGGTGTAAGCACTCAGCCATGAGCAGGGTGGCTGAAGGCTGTGTGCTAGCTGAGGGAGGTTCGGAGGGAGCCTGGCATGGAGGGGCAGTGTGGAGCCCACCGTCACACCCCAACTTCAACCCAATCCTGCTTCAAAAGATGAGCCCCACATACCTGGAATTAGACTCGACAGTAGTAATGAGAGTGTCCTGGAACAGGAGAGGAAATATAAAGTTGAGTTGGCATCTGAATATTCATGCCACACAAACCTGCTTTAGAATAACTCACAGCATTTGATTCAGTGCTACCTTAAGACACTGTGGAAAGGGTAATTTCCATCATGTAACTCTCTTTACTAAACCATCTAATTTGTCTGTTTTTCAGAACAAACCTTCTATATTTAAATTGCTTCACATTACTGGGATGAAAATATTAAAAGTTGATATCCTACATGGAATAGACATCTAAATACTTTAACATAGGAACTGAAAACAGATACTCAGATACAAACACACAACCCCCTCGTGGTCTTTATGGGAGAGCAATTTTATCTTCAAAACCATGAAGTGTATATTAAAAACATTAATTGCTTTATTCAGATCTTCTAAAAAGTAATCAAATATATTTAAGTTAAAAACTAAGGACTGTCATTTCACATTCAAACATTCTAGACCACATTTTCCAAGCCTCCTTTAACCAATGGTACCACCAAGATTCCTACAACACCCACAAATGGCCTCAAGGGCCACTCTGCCTAACACAAAAGAAAGCTCTGCTTTTCCCTTACAGCACTTTCTAAGAGCAGCCCTTCTTGTGAGTACCATGAAGTAAACTGACAACATCTGTGGAAAGTTCCCCCCAAGCCTAAGAATTGAGGTGTAGAGCTAGATGCATTCCTGAGCTTGAAAATGTGTTAAGAAGCATTCTTTTAATAATCCACACCAGCAAAAGTATTAGTGCTTCAAGCAACAGTAGCAACAAATGAGGCAGCTTCAGCAGTCTGCAGCAGAGATTAAAAACACCAACTGCACTGGCCACGTGCAAATGGCTCACACCGGTAATGCTAGCCTAGGAGGCTGAGAACTGATAACTGTCGTTTAAAGCCAGCCAGACAGGAAAATCCAGGAGATTCTTACCTCCAATTAAAAAAAGCTTCCAGCAAAAAGCTGGAAGTGAGTTGTGGCTCAAATGGCAGAACACCCACCTTAAATGAAAAGCTATGGGACAATGCCCACACCCCTAGTTTAATCTACAGTATAAGCATTTTTTTTTTAAAAATAGCACAAATAAACAGTCAGCTGCTTGCACTGAGGTTAGGCACCACTCCAGCCAAGCACAAGGTGTTAGACACTCCACACAAGAGCAGCAAGCTTTCAAAGAATCGCAGGGTGAGCAGTTAGGAGACACACCAACCTTGACATACCGCCTTTAAGATTCCTGACACAGTAGGGGGAAAAAATCAGTCATTTAAAAAGAAGACTTCACATTTATTATCTACTTAAGCAATGTTCAAACGTCAAATCTAAAAACAAAAAGTATAACTACTGCAAGATTATTTTTTACACACGAATCAAATGAAGGTGATTAGAAATAAAATATGCCACGTGTTATTTTACTACTAGATTTAAGACATTATCAGTTCTGAAACCAGGTAAACTGGTATTGTCACACAGCAATTAGGGGTGACACAACAGACAGAAGGCAAACTCCACCAGCCATGGCTACACCTTGGGCAAGAGCTCATGCACACATGCACTTTGCCAAACATGCAGCAATTCTGCAACCTCAACCCCCACCCCCACACTTTTATGGATGCCATGAGGGCTGATGTCAGAACACTGCTATAAAGTTTAAATAGCCTTGTAATGTGAAAATGCTTTCTAGCAAGTCATCACACCAGCCACCAGATCCTCCTGGCAGGGAGCTTAAATCACACAGCTTTTATGCGTGTCACCCAAAGCAAGTCAGAGCTACCACTTCACACTTGGATGGAAAAGCCAATTATTGTGTAGTTAGTGCTCTAAGGGCCTCTGAAAGGTTCCGTTAAGTGTGTCCACATGCACAGGGAGAAAGGGCGGTGGCTTGCATGACAGCTCTGCTACCTGCTTACAACTCAGAGCATCTCCAACTTAAATAATAATTTTTAAAAGGTTAACCATGTATGGCGCCTTAGGGAGCCATGTAAATCAGTATAAAGTATGATAAGCTTCTATAAAAACATGAATCCCAACACGCTTCTGCAAATCAGAGTTATTTCATTATCCCTCTCCTTAGAAAGTTTCTCTCAAAGTACTAACAGTGAGCCAACTGCTGATGGCTCACACCTATAATCCTAGCTATGTGAAGAGAGGAAGACTGCAGTTTGAGTCCAACCTAGACAGAAAAGCTCATAAAACCCTATCTTTTTAGTCTTTTCTTTTTTGGTACTGGGGATCGAACCCAGGACACTGCCCTTGCTAGGCAAGCACTCTGCCACTGAGCTACACCCCAGCCTTCATGAAAGCCTTTCTTAACCCAAAGCTAGACACAGTGGTGCATGTTTATCATCCCGAGCTACCTGGAAGGCTGAGATTGGGAGGATTATAGCTCAAAGTCTGCGATCTCAGCAAGGATGGGATGTGGCTCAGATGCATACCTTGGAAATGCTAGACCCTATCTCAGAAACAGGGCTGGAGGCATGGCTTAAGTGGTAGAGCACCAACCTAACAAACAAGAGACCCTGAGTTCAAATCCCAGTATCACTTCCTTAAAAAAGTCCTAAGAATGATGGCTTCATGAGAAGTCCAGGGCCAACAAAACTTATAAGCCTACAACTATAAGCCACAGATGGATGCTGGATGCCTGACCTTAACAAGGGGCTTAACCGAGTTCTGTATTTTCGTGCACTTGGTAGGTCTGTAACAATGCTTAAAAGTTATAACAGAAGAATATTGCTACCACTCCTCTCTTCCACATAAACAAAGTAGACATGTTTAATTTAAAATGTATCATTTCTATCCTTACAAGTACTTTAATTTGGCAGTTGAGCATGCTTCATTTGGGCAGGTCCAAGCTAATCATCTTTGGTGCATCTTATTTCACAATTCAAGTAGAGATTTTAGGGAGCCAACTTTCTAAACACACTTTTCAGCAGCGCTGGGACTGAACCAGGACCTTCAACATGGCAGGCAAGCACTGAGCTACATCTCCAGGTCCAAGAATGCAACATTAGGGGAAAAAAAAAAAAAAATCACAGCATGGTGGGCATTTTCCAGCCTAGAGATAGATGGTGACAGCCAGTTAAGAAATATCTCAGGACCCACTTTGGTTCTGATAAACTGAACATACAAGAAAGAAAAAACTGGTCATGCCTTTCAGAAAACTGGGTTCTTGTTCTGCCTTCAGCTACCTTTTGTTCAAAGTCACAACAGAGATTTTTTTTTTTCCAAGAGAATATTCAATAGTTAGCCCATTTGTAAAATTTCCGAAGTGAAAAATGTCTACTTTTAAATAAAGTCAGTGTGACTCAGACTGCAATGCCAGCGTGTGTGCCTGGCAAGTGGATCAAACACCAGCCACTGTGATGAAATGGAGGCAAAGGGCTTTACCCAGAAAACTGCTGGCTCTACCACAATGCCAGCTGGACTCCTCCTTTGATGTCGAAAGCTCCATTCCCAGAGTCCAGTATGTTATTTTGCTTCTGTCCCCCAAGTATCTCAAGGACCAAAGTGATCGGCATGTTAAACAGAAAACTAAACCAAACAGCAGAGCAAATGGTAATAAGCCATCGGTACTACACGGAGCCCAACGCACATTACTAACAGTATACCCAAGGCATTCGCGAGGGCCGCTCATCCACAAGCCAGGACCTGCCATACTCACGGGGAACGTGAGTGCCATGGTATGCTGGCCAGTAGCAGATCCCAGTTCAGGTAACAAGCTCCCTCTAAGCCTGTGTTCCTCGTAGTTGAACAACTTACACCAAAACTAGCACACTGAACACCTGACAGGAAAAAAACAAGACAAAACAAGACCAGATGATTTCCTGACACACTTCAGAAGTGAATCAAATCCTTGTTGTATCAGAGATTTTTGGTTATCACTAGCACTGAATTAAGCCTTGTTTAGAACAGGGAAAGGAAGAAACATAAATGAAATTACTTGCTACTAAACTGCACTATGAAAGACTTTTATTGGACTTGAGGTGAAGTCATCGTGAATTTCTGCTTCCACTTTGTGCTGTAAAGACAAGTTTTTGCCAGGCACTGGTGGTTCACACCTGTAACCCTAGCTACTCAGGAGGCTGAGATCTGAGGCTCATATGTAGATGCCAGCTCAGGCAGGAAAGTCCATGAGACTCATCTCCAATTGATCAGCTAAAAGCTGTAAGTGGAGCCCTAGCTAAAGTGGTAGCGCACTGGTCTTGAGCAAAAACAAGACAAGGTGCCTGTCGGCACAGTTCTCCACTTGTCTCTACAACCTCTGAGTCTTGCTGATTTTGCTCTCTCCAATAAAACCAAACTCACACACCAACACAGAAGAATGGACCTTTCTATTGCTTGAAGCAAAGCTTTCCCCTCATCTTTTAGCTGCAGGACTAGAAGTAAGCTGCCTACTTATACGGTTTAGGAAACTCTAGCTTTTCTTACCAATTCTGACTCTGGATTTATGTGCAAGTTTAAGTAAGAAGGGCAGCTCAGAAGCAGACCATGAAACAAATGCATTTACTCAACACCTATTACATCCCAGAAATACAGAGGAGATATGGGCAGTGACCTCAAAGATTTAGATAAAAAATCATTTAACTCAGTTCTCTAAAAATAAGTTTGTGTCAAATCTTTCAGAAGCACAATGCTTTGGGTTTATCTGCTTGATCCTTCCAGTCTGGAGATGGAGCCCAGGGCCTCATAAATGCTAGGCAAGCACTCTACCACGGACTGAGCTATACCTCCAGCAATCAAAGCATACTTATAGACCATTTGTTTAAAAAAACAACAATAAAAAAACAAGTAACTTAAGTGTTGTTATAAATATGCTCCCCAAGAACCACTGGAGCCAAGCGAACAGATAGGGCAGGCAGTATACCCAGTCAGGTATTTATTCCTAAGATAGCTGGCCCCGCCCCTCCACTCAGATTGGTTGAGCTCAGGTTCACAATCTGCTAGTCTGAATAGGGTGAAATATATTTACAAAATGGGACTTCTGAAATAAGATGAACAATTCACAAGTAATCTAAATATCCCACACCCTCTCTCGGAAAGAAACCAGTTTACATTTCATAAATCCTTTCTTATCCTGAGGCAGTTCCTCTTTTTCTAAACAAGAGCCAAACTGCCAGGCCAAAGCAGGAACTTTTTATCAAAGTACTTTGATAGAAAGGGCAGTTTTTCTCACAGTACTGAGAGCTATACAAAAATATTGCAAAATATACCAATCGGTTCATACATATAAAAACAGCTACAAGTACAACAAATTACTGGCAAAGCCCGAAGTGTCAGATTTGACAGGTATTAGGTACATGAAGATCTCTCCACCCGCCAGCACATTCCAGGTGCGCACACTCACCGAGGGCTTGGGTAATTTTGATCTGTCGTCCTGCAAAATAATTAATAAGGGGCATTAGGAACGTGAGAACATCTACAGAAAGTACCATTTCCAAAGTGCTCACTTTAAGGATTTCTCTCTTTCATTAACTGCTAGTAATTAACATTTTTAGTTCAGCATTCGACTCTTTGTAAACACGAAGTTTGTTGCATCTGGCTTGCAGCAAAAATGAACAGCCACCATCGCATGCCGGACATCCATGCTATAAGCTGAGGTCTGTGGACACTTCTAGACGGAAGCTGTGGCCTTGGCTGAACCATCCCTTCTTCCCCATCAAACTCCCTGAGAAGTGCATCAGTCTCTTACTCACGTGGCTCACATTTAGGGAATCCTTAAGGTCTCTCAATGGCAGGGTCAAAACTATCTAAACCTCAAGCGGAGTATGTAAAAAAACCAAGGCACTAGGTGAACGAAGCAGAAACCCAGCAGTGTGGCCCGAAACCCACCCGCCACACCTCCACAGACACCGGGCTGGAAAGAAGAGAATGTGCTGAGCTTTTAATGACTGTACTTCTAGGATGTATGAAGATATACATACAGGCATATAAGCTTCCCAGTAAGTCCACTCCCCAAAGTACCTATGCCCCAACACCAAAGAACAGAGCAATGGACAAAATCCTCCTCGCTCACAGAAGTTGTACTAAACTAGATCTCCAGGAATTCTATGAAGAGCCAACGTTCAGCTTCCCACCACTGTTATTACAAAAGGCATCACATTCATACATAGTAAAAATCCATACCTATCAATATCTGTTTGTCTAGCTATCTGTCTGTCTCCATCCATCCATCCATCCATAAGTTGTTTAATAGTTTCAGTGTTTTCTCACTTGAGGTGAGGCCACTGGAAGACATTTATCTCTTATGAGAGAACTCCCTGTTCCTGGCCTCTCCTCCAGCCTCTAGCTGGGACCCGTAGTGCACCAGGAACAGGGTAGCAGAAAGCAGCCAGGTGCTCCCTGGGGACCATTTTGATGCATGGTCTGGGATCAGTCTTCTCCCAGGTCTCCACCTCGATCCCAGCAGCTGAGGGCCCACGAGGGAATCTCCCTGTGGTTGTATAAAGCTGCTACAGAATGCCCCAAGTTCACATCACAGCCTGTGTTTCTGTGAAAGCCCAATGCAGCCAGTGTTTTCCAAAAGTCCACCAGAGAAGACATTCTCAAAGGCCTGAGAGTGAGCAAGAAAACAAGGTTTTAGAATTAAAACATCCTCAGAGGGGCTGGGAAGGTGGCTCAGTGGTAGAGCGCTTGCCTTGCATGCATGAGGCCCTGAGTTCGATTCCTCAGCACCACATAAGCAAAAAGAAAAAAGCCGGAAGTGGCGCTGTGGCTCAAGTGGTAGAGCGCTAGCCTTGAGCTGAAGAGCTGAGGGACAGCGCCCAGGCCCAGAGTTCAGGCCCCATGACCAGACCCAAAAAACAAAACAAAACAAAAAAAAAACATCCTCAGATTGATGACAGTAGCATGGGTTTCTTAAGAAAATTATTTTGGTTAAGGAAAAAAAAAGAGAAAAGCAAACTGCTGGTTGACAGGCCCGCTCTGTGGGATTAGGCAAAGGCGGGACCCCACCCTGCATTCTGACTGAGTGCCTGAACGAAACACAGCCTCACCAGGCAGAGGAGCCCCTGATCAACTTTCCCACGACAAAAGCAGTGTCCTCTACCCAGGCAAGCTGCTTCTGCTTTAGTCCTGCTTAAGATGTGTGCAGATGCAAATGGAGACTTGGGAGGTCTCGAAGGAGTCAGTACTCACTGGATGCAGCTCTCCAATGATGAACGTCTTGGACAGTTCTCGAGCATCGGTAGAATGGCCGACATCTTCGAAGTTCTCTGTAGCATCACCGCCGGCCTGTTCTCTGAGGACTTCTTCCCCACCAGGATGCTGTTCAAAGATACACAATACACATTTTCTTTTTCAGGCAAATGAAGTAAAAGGGAATGACAGGGTGCTGAAGAAGTCACAGGTGACAACAGGAACTCAACCCCATGCTCCTTCCCACTCAACTTCTACAGCAGGCCTTGCTCAGTGTCATGACACGGCTCCCCTCACCCATCCTCAAGCTGGCTCTTGGGCCTCCTCCTGAGAGAGGCCCTCAGTCTGCGTGTGCTCACAGGAGGGAGGTGGGCAGCCATTCCCTTTGGGAGCACCTTCAGCCTGCAAGGAAACAGGGAGCCCGGTTGGCCAGCAGGCGAACAGGCTCCGCAAACACTTTCTAGAAGAAAAGGCGGGATGAGAGGCTGACATCAAGATAAACAACTAAATGGGGAAATGACAGCAAAAGGAAGAGATAGTTCCGCACAGGAAAAGGGGTAGTGCCCTTTCATATGCTAGGGGCATTTATCTCATCAGCTGCTTGAGCCAGGGAAATGAAGGACAGCCAGGAAGCAGGAGGGCTGTTCTCGGACACAGGTGGTGAGATCAAGACACTTGGCTACAAGGGAAGGTGTTCTCACACAAGTAGAAAGAAAAATAGCTCTTGGTTAAAAGAAAATATTCCTTAAATGGAACTCAAGGATTATCTTAGATAGCTAACCTTGTACAATAGGGGGTCTACACTAAAGCTTGTTCCTCCTCCTACTTGTTCAAAAATAGCTAGTGCTAATGTAGTCTACTATTTTTAGAGACCAGACATGGTAGTTCATGTCTTATATCCCAGCTACTGGGGAGGTGGACTTCAGGAGGGGGATAATAACTTGAGGCTAGCCCAGGCAAATAAACCCCATCTGAAGGAACAAAGCGTGCCTGTGGTCTAGGATGTAGGAGGCACAGGTAGGTGGTGGTCTGAGGCCAGCCTGGGCAAAACCAGAAGACTATCTGGAAAATAACTCAAGCAAAAAGGGTTGGAGGTATGGCTCCAATGGAAAAGTGCCTGCTAACAAGTATGAGGCCCTGAGTTTAAAACCCAGTACTTCCAAAAATAAAGGAGGAGGAGGAAGCTGAGGGAGGGAGGGAGGGAGGGAGAGAGGGAGAGAGGGAGAGAGGGAGGGAGGGAGGGAGGGAGGGAGGGAGGGAGGGAGGGAGGGAAGGAAGGAAGGAAGAAAGGAAGGAAGGGAGAGAGGGAGGGAAGAATGGAGAGAAGGAGGATATTTATTATTTTTTCTCTTTATAAAAACTACTCATTGGGCTGGGATGTAGCTCAGTGGCAAAGCGCTTGCCTAGCAAGTGCAACGTCCTGAGTTCGATCCCCAGTACAAAAAAAAAACCAAAAAATTACTCATTTATATGGCAGTAAAAAACTGGAAAGCACTAGAAAATAAAAATCACTCCTAATGGAGAGCTGGATAAAGACATTTTATCTATCTATCTATCTATAGATTATATAAATTATATAAGTATATGTCCGTACGTTATAAAGATAGACATTAATATACAGATTATCTATAGATATATATGTGTGTGTGTGTGTGTGTGTGTGTATATATATATGCTGTGCTAAATAATCAGAAGCAGATGAGGCTACATGGGGTAGACATGGTACCACTAGTGCCACTACTGTATAAACAGTGGTCACCTTTTACTAAGTGAACCTCAGAAAATAAAGTGGCATTTATCTCACACAGCTCTTGAGAATTAAAGTATGTCTGGCATAGCCCATGCTCATCTGTGTCAAACATTTCTCAACATTACTATCTTTCCTCACTGTGATCTACCAAGTGTACCCATTCCGAAATTCACTGCAATACATTCCTGCTGGGGGCATCTGGATTAGTGGAGGGATTCAGATGTGCCTCCTAGGCTATGGGGGTGAAGACAGGCTTTGCTGGTTCTATAACAGTCTGAAACTGAAGATCAGAGAAGCAGGGAAGGTGAAAGGTACATAGTGACTAGGGCACCAGCACTCAGCTACATAAATGCAGAGCGGTGCTCCTGACTAGCTCCTAGCTCGTGTCTGACAGGTGAGGACAGATACACAGATCACCTGGGCTAGGTGCCCATGTGTCAGAGCAGCCTGTCTCCCAAGGGCAATTCCAGTGAGAATAAAATCATTGCCTTGGACTTCTCTCTACAAAGAGTCATAAAGCTAGAGAAGTGATTGAGATAATTCTGAACTGGAAAGTACTGAAGTGGAGAAGCACACATCATGTCACAGATTCACAACCATTTTCACCCAAAACCGAAGTGCAACAGGGCAAGCTCTCCCCTTAACCTCTGACCAAGGATGGAAACAGCATGTAGGTGCTACTGCCTGTCAATCTTCAAAGGGAAAATGAGAAAAGAAAGGGAAATCTGGGCTAGAGTGGTCTGACTACTGATGAAAAATTTTAAAGTAGATAAATAAAACTATTTAACAACCATAGAAACTAGTATTCAATACAGTAATTTATGTTAAAGTATGTTTACTGTACCCTAAACACTTAAAAGAAAAAGAATCAGTAAGAAAATCAAAGCCTAAAACTGGATGGCATTTTTAGGGCAAAACAATTTTTTCTTTATAAGACAATAAAGATAATTACTACTTGCTTTTTCAATATTTAGTGTTTTCTTTGAAAAAATACTTATGAGAGACACAGAGTCAGGAGAAATAGATAGGCACAACTACACACACAGCATCAGACAGAAAGAAGCACACACACACACACACACACACACACACACTCACACACACTCAGAGTGGCAGAGAAAGAGACAGAAAGCCCTACCATCATAATCTAACTAATGTTTTAACACAGGCAAATTCATACTGTCACTGTTTTCATTACCTTGGTTGTTCCCAAGGATTAGCATATGACAACCGTTTATGTCCCATCTTTGGAGTAGGTTACAGAATATGACAACCATTTGTATCCCATCTTTGGAGTAGGTTACAGAATTGGAGAGTAGCCCACAGAAAAGGCAAGCTTTGAAAAAGGAAAGTAACGAGTGAGTAAAACAATCTGATGATTTTCTGCCAGAATGACATCACCCAGGAAGTGCAGAGGTGATGTACCGGGTAACATCTGTAACAGCTAGACACCTGTCCCCCCAAAGAGCTCAGCCCTCACCTCTACCCATCCTGCTCCCCTGAGGCCCAGGGCAGGGGAGAACTCAGAAGGACAGGTGGAAAGGGAGGTCAAGAGACAGGAAGGAGGGCCTGTGAGGACAAAGCAAGAGATAACAAGGAGAACCCTCAAGCCCAGTCCTCCTGAGTTCAACCTTTAGCATAAAGTCTGTTTACTGAAAGGAAGAATTCTTTTGTTTTGTTGTTGTTGTTTATAAGCTCAGGTAATTCACTCAAAAAAGACACATCAAGTGTGTAGCCAGACACATTAGTACGGAAAGATGGCCCTGGCTCCTGTCCTCAGGGAGATCAGGAGAACTATGAACAGCAAGAGATTAAAACCATGCTGAAATTACAGGGTGTGAGCAAGGGGAGGGGCAGGCCAGGCCCCACAGGGCTGCGAGACCTCTTGAAGGACTTGGACCTTTGTCCTGTGAGCAATGGGAAAGTCACTGGAAAGACCTAAGGAAAAGTGACAAAATCAGATTTAAACGTAAAACGTACTCCAGCTTCCAGAGTGAGCAACAAACACCAGGAAAAGCAAAGAGGTGAATATAGAGCCTCGGCAGGAAATGAGGAGGCTGGGCGAGAGGGTGTGGGGGAGAGGCTGAGGACAAAGAGGTGCGGAGCGTTTATGGAGCCAGACTAGAAGGCAGGGCTTCCTGACAGGGAGGACGGCAGGGAGAGGTGGAGAGAAGAAGCAACAAGCAACAAGTGGAGGCTCAGAGTTGGGTCAAGGCACGCTCCAATGTTTACGTGACTCCAATGGAATGAACCATGGTGTTACTCACCTGCTGAACTGAGAATGGGAATCCTGGAAGGTGACTTGGTTTAGAGGATACACGGGTTACTGAAACGCCTGCCCTACTTCACTACTGCCACCTATCCTGTGTGCCCACAATTCCTTCCATGCATTTCTGTGAAATCTCCACATCACAAGCTATCCCAGTGTACTTTGCTCTGGACAGTACATGACCACCATTCCCAAGAGAAGGAACGCAGTTAATAAGCAGAAACAGCTTTTGCTTTCTTCATCTATAACTTTTTGGTTATTTATAAGAAAATAAACAAGAACTATTTTTTATTATTTTAATTTTTCACATATTAATTGTACTAAGCAGTTTCACTGAAAAGGAACTATGTTTTAAAAAATTAGGGAGGCACTGATGGTTCACACCTATAATCCTAGCTAGTCAGGAGGCTGAGATCTGAGGATCATGATTCAAAGCCAGCCTGGGTAGGAAAGTCCATGAGACTATCTCCAATTCTCCACCAGAAAACCAGTAGAGCTGTGGCAGAAAGTGGTAGAGCACTAGCCTTGAGCATAAAAACTTAGGGAAAGAGCTCAGGCCCGGAGTTCAAGCCCTATGATCAACAACAACAACAAAAAAAGAGATTAAAGGTTGGAACTATATATAATGCATTCCTAATCCAAAAATCCAAAATGCCCCCAAATCCAAAACCTGTGCCAACATCACGTCCTAAGTGGAAAACTCCACACCTGAACTCACATGTCAGGCTGGAGTCAAACATAAACACACTAAAATTATTGTCTAAAATTATCTTCAGGCTGTGTGTTTAAGAAGTATATGACACATATAAATTTCACATTTAGAGTTGGGTCCTCTCCCTAAGACTCAAATTTATGAAGATGCAAATATTCTAAGATCTGAAATCTGAAACACCTCTGGTCCCAAGCAATTCCAGTAAGGGAGGCAGGAAAACCCACAAATCACTGTATTATTAACAGTGAATGTTGACTACCAACTCTTGATGTTTCAACTGGCTTTACACAGCTCACTGCATGAATGCTCTTAGCAAGATTTTGCATAATGGACCTCCTGTGATTTCCAGGAAAACAGACTCTCCTGGCTGCCCCACAGCCTTCAATCACCACAGCTAC